TTGATGAACAGGAAAAAAATTCTCTGTTAAACTGTAAGGATCGTTACAAATAATTAGGTAGAAAAGTTACTATTATATTTGGCAAAATTTTTATACAATACACAAAGAGATTCCCTTTGCCAGCCTCCAGTGTTCCATTACTCATGAACCATTCGCAGTTATCATTTTTGTCATATTCTTCCCAGTGTCTGTTCCATCTGCTCTATCCTATTGCCATGTATGCATCTTAAATTATCTAGTTTTCTTCCTATGCACTATAGATCAGCTGCAGTGAAACATGTCAAGTGAGAAAATGCAACAAATACGCATCTCCTATATAACAATTTTTGTTAGGACTAGGCCTCATTATGGAATTAGTACTACTCTAGTTCACAAGACTTGTCCTATTTTTTTCTAGACAGAACGAGACCATAGGAACAAGCAGAACACCACTTTACCCTACCTTAGAGTCTTTTTGCCTGCTGAGTATCCACCAAAATCAAAGTTAGTGTTTTGCATACAAGGACAGCAAGGTTGAACCCTGGTATTAAATAAATCCTGGGTGGTATGCTACCGCCCTCATCTTAATAAAGTTTCATGGCTTAATATGTATTTTAGTTAAAACCAGGTCCACATGCCAATCAAAACCTTTGCTTGGCTGGTTTAACTCCAAATGAAATAGTAATACCTGACAGCACCTACTTTTTTCTCTTGTAAATGTACATGAACTGTGAAGACCTTGTAAGATATTAATATATGTAATCCAGGCTATGAGGTTAAAAGAAAAAAAAGATAAAGACAAGAGATACTGGCACTGCGCATAGTCTGAGATATGAGAAAATCCATCCTGCAATTAATTTATTGCTTTACCACCCTCAAAGTGCATTTATTTCAATAAAACATGCTTTTTCTGCTGTAAGCCTGATTTTCAGTAATGGCATGGACTGACACGTAAAAAAGTCTCTGGGAAGTTCCACATGCTTTTCACCTCTTGTTTGCAATACGAGGTATAAAGTATATTGAATCAAAGAAGTGTCACCTATGACACTTCAAAGTGTTTGCATTTCTAGCACAGGCTCATCACAAAGGAAATCAATTACTTTGCCCCATAGGTAAAATCCTTACAAAATTTTAGAAATCATTTGATTGCAACAGAGTTAAAAATTCATTACAAAACAATACAATTCTTTGCAATTTCCAAGACAAATTAAAATATTAAACAGAACGGACATCTATTTTAGGATTGCTAGAGCTGATTTAAGAACTTAATTATGTTTGGCTTCTCTTCAGCTATTCCTGATTCCTATCTAAAGGAAGGAAGATTTTTACAAAAGTGTGGTTTGCATGTTTTGTTATATCTGAGACTGGATGAAGTGGCACCTTCTGAATTGCTGAGTGGTGGGAAAAGCTCCTGCCACTCATGGTAACGAGACAAGCAGAGGGGGAAAAACAAGCAGACCAGTTGCTCCTATTGCAAAGTTTTATAGCACAAAGACCAAGGAGACAGTCAGATGTACACGCTCCTGAAAGCCAGCGGTACGCACAAACTAACTTATGCGCCGTGGAAATGCTGCTCTAGACCAAGCTATAATTCTGTGTGTGTATGGGATAGCCAAGCCATAACCAAAACCATCTTCTTTAACAGCAAAGACCCCCTTTGTTGTGGTGACAATCTGTCTGCCATCTGCAACGCACAGCTGAGTAGTCCAAATTGTCTCTGATAGATAGCACAAGTAACGCATTTGTTATCGTAGTTAAAAGCGCTCTTTGCCTTCCCTTCAGTGTTCCTTATGTTTGGCACTTGCCAGTGCTAGCGGTGAGTTCCGCCTGCCCACAAATCCAGGCTAGAGCTCATCAATGCAGCACAGCAAAGCATTTTACACACATGAGCGTTCCCTGCAAATGCTAAGCAGCAGTGGCACTGCCAATGCAGGAAGTACTTTGCACAAAGCATGTTTATTAGCTGTGACAGAGAGTATAGCATTTTCAAAGAGCTAAGGAAGAAGACAGCTGCTGCGGCTCCCCTAATTACCTTTCCCCAGACGTCAACAGTAATTTACAGTTTGGAGGATATTGCTGGAACAAAGTACGATCTAGATCCACACACAAGCTATTCTCCTCACTTTTACAGGCCATGTGTTATACGAGAATTACAACTATTCAAACCATTTCTATGAGTCGGGTTACCTCCTGTCAGGTTTTTTATTGCACATTTTTCTTTTGCTGCTGGAAAATACAGAATTTGCTGTAGACAGTAATCAGATAATCACCACATCTTGTTACAAGCATAAGCCAGGAGGATTTGCTATTAGACTTGCTCTCCAATCTATCACATCAAAACAAAAATCATTTGAGAGGCTTAATAAAAATAATGCTTCTTAATACACATTCCATGGCACAGAGGTTAAAAAAAAAAAAATCAGTATATAGAGTAGGGAGAATGTTAACTTCACACATATCCAAATTCAGTTCTAAATCACTGTGCTACAAAAGCATTTAGAAATATATACGTTTGTTCAGCTATTGCTCCTGCTGTTTTGCTGCTAAGCAAAATCTAAAGAATTGTACATGATGCCTGACAAATTAAGATATGAACAATCAAGATTAATTGCACAAAGAGGATACAGCATTTCAAATAGTTGCACCCTTGAAAGATCAAAAGCTTTCCTCATTCAGGCAGTAGCTCCGAACTGCTTTACTGACGAGAGAGGCCATTTAAAAAACACAAAATGAAAAAGAAAACGTAAAATTCATGCAGATACACAAAACTGCAAAAAATCCAGTAACTATTTAAGTCCAACAATATACTCGGGTAAAGAAGTAGTGAAAAGAAATCAAATGGAGAAGATTAGGCAGAAAAGCTTTAAACTCAAGATGAGCATCCACACTGGGTCTGTACTTGCAAGCGCTGAGAATAAAGACGATGTTGACTCACAGACTCACTATCATGTGGATCCAGCAGCCTGCTGATGTTTTGCATCATAAAATAAGTACCAGCCTCCAGCTTGCACAGATCTAAGTTATTGCAGAAGACCAACATCTACTCAATGCAGTGTTCTGCTCCATAACAGATGCCCAGTATACATTTTGAGGCTGTGTTACTACAAAACTGGAGTTGTTCTCAAACTCTAACAGACCCAATTCTCTCAGCTCAAGCTGGGAGTCAAATAAAAGAAAGGGACTTACCCGTGTTTCTCTGGACTTGGCACTGATAGGATTTCACTGGTGTTTTCATCAATGGAAAGGACCCGAGCAACATATTCTCCACTTTGCTGGAAATTCTTATAAACAGCCACTTGAACTGTGCATTGGTCACTGCTGCTTCTCAGCCAAGGGCTCAGGATGACTGGACTTGGGCCATCTGATGCATTGAGGAACAGGAACAAACCTAGGACAGATAAGGCAAGAAGGGAGCTTTATAAAAACAACAAACAAACCCCCAACAAATAAGGTACAGATGAAAACTTGTAATTTTTATGCCAAAGCTCACTCTGTAGCCTTTTCTTACTTCCCAGGCAGCCAACCATTATCTTTGCCAACAGTCTGGAAAGTTTGCTCATTTTGTATTAATCTTATGAATATCTTCCTGGGAAAGAACATTTCAGCTCACCCCAGAATGGGTAATTACTTTTAGATTTAACCCCCAAAAGAAGAAGTGCAAAGTGGACAAAGCCATAAATATTATTGGCAGGGAAAAACATCAGACAGTAACAACAACAACAAAATCAACCAACCAATACTCTTCGAAAGTTAAAGCCAGGAAGATGATCAAGTGGGTTTGCATTCTTGTTTTTAATGTACCTATTACTTCTGGACTTCATCCCCATCTCTGCAACTTCTCAGATGTGGTCTACATCCAAACATTAGGGCCTTGGTTCAATGGAATCCCGACTTGCCAGCTCAGGTATATATTTGTACTTTATAACTGATCGGGTTTGCTCACCCATATAAAAAGCATATTCAATAACCCTAGTTTTGTTCTTCTATAAAGAGAAGAGCGCAGAATTTTGAAGCCATTAGAGTCAGGCTAAAAGTCTGACATTGTTTTATTTTTGTCAGCAATTCATTCTAACGTGCTAATTTTATATGCAGCTAATCCACATTAAATGTTTGATTATTATCCAGTACATTGTATCTCTTCGCCAAATTCTATTCCAATGCAGTTTGAGGCTTATCCAGTGGGACAGAGGTAATGTCTTTTCAGCACGCTGTAGCTCATTACAGGTAAGTCAAATTATTCCCTTTTGGCAGTTGACCAACTTACCAGATTTCCCACAGAGCAAGCACATTGGGGTGTATAGTTAGGTAAATGAAAGTGAACAACCCTTGAATCAAGGTAACTTGTGATATTCCACAAATTTTTGTAAAACTGTCAGATAATCAGACAACGAGGTTTCTTTTCCTGGACTATCCATTAATAAAGCACGTCCATTAATACTTGAAACATTCAGATCTGATAAACACTTTAATTTCATAGAGGGAGAAAGTATGGCCCAAAAGGGACTGAAGTCTAACGCTCTGCTTAAGTGCACACCAATTTTAACAGGAGCAGAAACTTCTTTTTGTAAATACCCAGGTTGAGACTTAAGAGCAATGATTTTCAAAATGGCTGAGCATATATAACCCAACCGTCTGCTAAGCATTCAGAAGGTCTAAGAAGTCCTGTGGAGCTGTGATTGGAACCTGCTCACCTTCACCTTGATCTCTAAACTGTGGACCATTATGTGAAAAATAGCCTTTCTGAGCTCCCATGATAGTCCAAGGAGTAGTTAATCTCATCCTAAAATGGATCAGGTGACTAGCTCTTTTGACATTTTTATTTCTCTCCACTGAACTGAGGATGATGAGCTCAGATTTGGACATCTTACTGTCAGATGAGAATTGAGAACAGGTTAATTGCACTCATGCTCGCAAGACGTCCCCTTTGCAAAAGTCTGACTTGGCAATTTGTCTCTGGTCAAGCAGTGTAATAATGGAAGGTCTAAAAAGGAAACACAGATTCTCGTTAACCAGCATGTTTCCCTCCCATACACACATTTATCATAAGGAGCGCTTTGGACATATTTGTCAAAAGCAGCTTCTTGACATTGGCAGCAAGTTAATGACATATCTCAACTAGAAAACATTTGTCCTGTAAGCAATATACAGAAATTCAGTATGTACAGCCTTCTCGGATGTTAAGGTTTTAAGTGGAGAGGAGTGAAATATAGTCACATAGTTTTTTTTAATAACAAGAGTCCTTATGTGAAATAATAGCCTTTAATCTAGTTACTAAAGCAATCAATTGATGAATTTAAGCAAACTCCTCTATTATTCTTAGTTATACATACACAATATTTTTGCTGATCAGTAAAATAAAAACAAAAAACCTCAGCCATGTGTATCATACTTCCCTGTCTCTGCCTTCTGTTGCAAACAAAAGAGAATTAGACCACTAAATCTTGTAGCTTTAATTGTACCATCCCCATAAGTACACTGAAATCTGTGACATGAAAGGGAATAAAGAGATTTCTGCTGGTGGCAGAAAGATACTAAGCATTGCAATAATTGCTGATGGTAACTTGGCAGGTGCAAGAGCCATTTGCTCATCTTACTGCCTTGCAACAGGGAGTAAAATTTTAAAAATAACAAATAAACAAAGAGACAGCTCTTGTTCTTTCTTTTCTTGCAGTGGGTCTGAATAAAGAGAACTTCCAAGGACTCATCCTGACGTGGGACCAGATTTGGAACATCAGTGACGTTTAGTAGTAAACAAGACTGGCTGCTACAGCAAATCTGTTAAGCAGTCACTACTCTCCTGTATTTTGGCCACTTCTTATTTACATGGTTGGCTCTCTACACACTTGGCTTATTACTCATCATGTGGCTGACTCTACTTACTGAATTATATTGCCCAAAGGAATGTAATTTTGCTGTGGTTGAGGCTACCCAGCTATACTCTCACAGGATGTTAAGAGGAATATCTCCACACTACACTGTTCTGAAGCAGTGCCTAGAAAATCACTCTGAGGGATACAGCTATTATGCAGTATCGGCCTTACCACTGGTACACAGTCCTGCCAAAAATCTTATCTTAGAGTATACTTTTGAGGAGATCACCTACTTGGGAAAATACTGGAGCCATGACAGAATGCCCTCCTTTTTTTTTTTTTTTTTTTTTAAATACAGAACAGAACATACGTAGCTTTGCTCTTGCTTTTGAAAACTCAGCTATCTCATGGGTTACATCACTGTCAGCTGTGGTATTCTCTTTTTGCCCTTAGTACTAGTCTAATTCATAAATGCTAAGGAAAGAACTATCAGAACTGCATTTGGCTCTGCTGTTATTGGAATTTTTTTCTAAAGTTAAAATGAGAGGGACTTGCTGTGAAATTATATAGAAAACACACAGGCTTTGTTACACAGCAGTATCTGAAGATTCCTGCTCACAGACCACATGCTAGATCTGCTCATTACTGAGCAGACCAGTGACTTCCTGTAGTGAACAAACCTGATGGCTGTAGTGTGCATTACACATACTCTTTTCTACATAGACAGACTCAAAATACCAATTCGGACAAATGCAATTTCATGAATTTGTCTTCTCTAAAGCATACACAACCTATCTGCCAGTTAACCACATACACACACACACATGCACGCATACAGAAAACAAATTGCTGACATCATCCAAAAATCTTATTTCAATAAAGTTGACAGGCCTTATGCTACTGAAATCGATGGCTTCGAACCCGCAAAGGAATAATTAAGGTATCTGAGGTGAAAAATGACGCATTTTGAACGCTGGTCCTCGTACTCCTCCCCTCCCTCAGAGGAACGGTGTTTTAGCCATTTCCTGCCATGAATTCACATGACAGACTGGCACGGCATCAATGCAAGCACTATTTCTAGGATTAGATCATATAATGCTACTTAAAGAGTAAAGGAACACGATGAAATAGATCCCCTCTTCACTGTGAGGGACAGAAGATTGTTTTGCACCAATGTATTTTTGGGGCAAAATTAGAAGCTAGATTTTCACTTGTTTACGATTGCTGTATTTCCCTCTCAGAGATGGGAATCTAGGTGGCAAGCTGTACCCAAGATTGCTGTGTGGATCCTCAAGACTGTAAGATTCCAGCAATGATTTCCTAGCACTTATTTTCTCTTACTAGCTCACAGGTCTAATAAGGCTCTTGGGATCTCACTGAGTGAGTACCTAGAAAAAGCACTGCAGCTTCAAACAAGCTTCTGCTGGTATTTAGATACCAAGGGATATAATCTGAGATGAAAGGTTCCTTCCTGGTATATGCCGCCAGTATTATATTCTACTACTCATATGAATGAGTGGTTAAATATAAAACACCACAAAACATAAAATCAAGCTCTTTTCCCTCTCCATTTCTTCCCAACTGAACAACATGAATAGGTGGAAGGGACCCACATTTAACAGCTTTGCACAGCATAGGTTTTGTGATTGCTAAAATGGAACAGGACTCTGAATGGTCTACTTACTCTTCAGAAAGATGTTCATCAGTGAGACATTTCAGGAGTTTTCTGTTACAGATTTTGAATTGACTCTAGCTGCACAGTGTAGTGCTGGCACTAAAGAGGTACAGTTAAATAATTAAATTGTAACTAGATAAACAGCTTCAGACCCAGGCACTTAGCATTTCCTGGTTCATGAGCTCATTCCTCACGATAACTCAGAACCATGTGGCGGCAGCGTGGACTGCATTCAGTACCGAACACATCTATTTGCATTATATGACAAAAACCCTAGTAGCTAACATTGCTCTGTGTTGTGTCAGAGACAGCTGGTCTAAACTGCAAATACTTTATTTTCTAACACTCCCCTTAAACACTCATAAGCTGTGGGAGAAACTTGCCAGTGTTACTCAGCTCCTAACCTATTTTCTCTCTACTGTTTTAAAACCTGCGAAACAGAATGGCTTTCTTCAGGCTCATGTGTCTCTTGTAACTTGCTGTCACTTCAGACAAACACACATGAAAAGATATTTAAGCTTAAGGACAAGGAATTATTGCAGTTAACATGAAAAAAGCTGCTGTTAATCCTTTGGAAGCTTGTTTATGGTATTTTAACATGTGTCACAGAAAGGGAAGGACAGGTTTAGTAGCAATATGTTTTTGAGATGATGAAGGCAACTTAAATTGGGCTGTTCAGGACTGATGAGGTAGCAGGAGTATTTGTAAAGAAGAAAACTGATGCTAATGTACTATTCATATGCAGATACATTATGAGTAAAGCACCTGTCCACAGAAGTTTTCAAGTGAAGGGGTATAGACTGATCAGACAGCAATTCAAAACTGTGTCAGCAACAAAGACTTCCTGCCACCTTTGACCCAACAGCCTTGTCTGACACGGATGCAGAGAACATCTGCAATGAG